GCATGGGCGAGTACTCGAAAGCACTTTCATCGTATGAACGATCACTTGAAATCCAGAAAATAGCTCTCCGTTCGAATCATCCCGACTTGGCTTCTTCCTACAACAACATCGGTATGGTGTATGATACCATGGGCGAGTACTCAAAAGCACTTACATCGTATGACCGATCACTTGAAATCCAGAAAATAGCTCTCCCTCCGAATCATCCCGACTTGGCTGCTTCCTACCTCAACATCGGTACGGCGTATGGTAACATAGGCGAGTACTCCAAAGCACTTTCCCATTACGAGAAAGCTCAAGAAATCTTCCGAACATCACTGCCTCCAACACATCCGCATATTGCTCTGCTGAAAAGAAACATTGAAAAAGTAAAAAACAAAATGTAATTGTTTTTTTTTTGTTTTTAAATGGAAAATAAATTTCCCTTCTTGAACCCAAAGCTGGCCAAAGCAAGCAGCTGCAAAATTTCGCGCATGCGCGACCAGAGATACCCTCCGTATTTTGCTGGCTCGTACAGTGGACAAAGCCGACAATGGTTAGGCAAACATATATCCATGTATGTATGAATAGTACGACCATGATCATCATCTTCGAAATGACGGTGACGAAATGGACGCTTCTATTCATACATACATTGATGTATGCTATGAAGGCCTACCATCTGCACGCCTGCACGGGTCACCAACAGAACGTCGGATATCCCTGGGAAGGTTCATTTGGTTTAGAGCCACGCTCAAAAGCTCCATTACTTAGAAAATTATCTTTATTCTTCAGTTACGAAGAACGAGAAGAAGTAAAAACGGAAGAAAGAAAAGGTATGAAAACGGAAAGACTCGATAAAAGACGACGTCACGGAATGATAATACGCAGCGCATGATAACAACCGGTTTTGTCAAGCAATGGAATATTGAGTGCACGATATCTTTGTCGTCTTTAAACATTTCATGTTCAATTCATTTGTGTTTTCATCTCGAATGTGTAAGGATAACTTGCATGTCGTGCACTCTCAATTTTACCAAACGAACGATGATTGAATGAAACGGCGGATAAAAACAATATGTTCGCTGTCAATTTGAGTCATAACTCATGCACTGCATATCTTGAAATAGAGATAAAGAAAAAAAAAAAGAGAAAATTTTAAATATATATATTTTTTTTTACATTTTATTATGATATCTGATGGTTACATTAACATTGATGCTCAAAAACAAAAAAAAAGATTTCATACGAAAAAAAGATGCCACTTTTCACAGCATCTGTTTTTAAATCTAACAAGGGAACATTCCCAAGTGATACCCGCCGTTTCAGCTCGTATTGTGCCCAAAAGTAGATCTCGGTAAGACTAGAGAAAGCCTAAAAGGGTTCGTGCCATTGCGCCGTTGGAGCCGAGTTATGCCTAATTTGCTGAATTTTCGGCCCTTTTTAGGGTACTGATGGAAAAATCAAATTACCAAGTTTCCACCTGAAATTTCTAACATAGATAGATATAGTTACACCTAGAATATCCTGGAAGTTTCAGCCGAATAGAATGTTCCTTTGTCGAGTTATTGCATTTTCAATTAAACTCGACTTTTGTGAAATATCTGTCGCAAATGACTATTTTTTGGAGATCCAATATCTCCACATAGGAACATTCTATTCGGCTGAAACTTCCAGGATATTCAAGGTGTAACTATATCTATCTATGTTAGAGATTTCAGATGGAAACTTCGTAATTTGATTTTTCGATCAGTACCCTAAAAAGGGCCGAAAATTCAGCAAATTAGGCATAACTCGGCTCCAACGGCGCAATGGC